GCCTGTGAGCGAGTTGAGGGACGGTGCAAACATTCAAACCTTGCAGAAACGGGTATACATAGTTCCCACAGACCAATGAATGTCACATGACCTCCTCGGAGACGCCATCTTTGATGGCACGCTGCTGTGTTTGTGCATTCCATTAAACAGAAGAATGAGAATAAATGTAGATATTCAAACGCAAATTGGAAAAAAAGGGCAACTTTTGAGCAAATAATTGTATATTAATACAATGGCACCACAGTTTAACGTGCTACGGACATGTTTTACATATTTGATCAAATTATGCAGCAAAAATTAACAAGCAATGCAAACATTTCTCAAAAACTTTAGATTTAATACCAGTTGGAGCTCCATTTAATTATTTTAATTATATTAACAATTAATTTAATTAATGCTAATGCCACACGGACACTCTGGATTCCTGTTATTGTTTATTTCCGCGTTTTTGACCGTATGTTTTGGTGAATGGTGGGCAACTGATTTTTCCAGGCGTAAAGAGCAGTTTATTTTATGACACAGATCTTTTTACAGAAGCAATGCTGTTTGTGAACATTGTTTTAGCCCACCATAGAACTATTATTATCTATTTAATACATTTACGTTGCCCTCGAGAGCCTCAGACGCGACACCGATCCTCCTCATAATAAAGTAATCTAACGCTAAATAATGAAACTCTCAAGTTACCAGATATCAGCATACACAAGTTAGTACTGAGTAAATTACGTCTGTCAACACATTATAAGATACGATACGCACCTGACACAAAGTGCTCCGAGCATATTCTTGCGTGTTTTGAGGGAGTTTCTTGCCTGTTTATCTTCGCAAGCCATAACCTCCGTGGTTGTTCTGACAAAAGCTTAGTCTTCTCACATTCATGAAGTCTAATGATGGGTATACTGTAAAATCCAAGTTTAACGGAACCTCTGGCACGATTTGAACATCCATTGACCCAGCAGGAGATGACCATTTTCAACTTTATCACGACATTAACACGTTTCAGCTTCTTTTTCTATTGTTTTTGAAAAGGAGTTTTGCAAACTCCTTTTCCCCCATTTTTTACTTTCAGAGAGATTTTCTTCCTATTTTGTCTGTGAGAGAGGGGCCCAGGCTGCTTAGTTGCACCAGACCTGCTTTGTCTCTCACCACAGACACTTGAACTTATTTTTCTTCCACTTTAAACCAGGTTGGAGCTTGAAAACATGAACCATAATGACAGTTTGATCACAAAGTCATCTGCTTTATAAGTTTGTTCACACATGATACTGTCATGTGAGAAAAATGTGTGAAGAAGAGAGGATCAATCTGAATCTGGGGTCCTTAAATAGATAAAATAATGTATAGCTTTTATTTATTTTGACCATATTGTTTACTGTGTAAAACGGCACATTCATATTTCTGTTTTTTTATGCTCATCCCTGGTCGGAACAGGGTACATAGATTTCCTCCAGATGCTCCGGTTTCCCTTACCTCAACAAAAATGCACAATAGGTTTGGCATGCGCCTCCTGTACCGGCGGCCTCAGTCCTATCTCTGTGTGGAGTACAATGTACATGTTTTGTCTGAAGGTAAACTACTTATTTGTTTGTCCATGTCATCATATTGCATACATCATACATATTGTCTTTACATTTGTCAAACATGAACAAACAGGAACAGAGGGAAGACACAGAGTCGTATAAATCCTGTCCCTCATTAAACTTCTGACTGAAACTATCATAAATTATTCAAATTCTCTCAATAATAAAGCAGTACAGCAATAGAGTGACATTTGGTACACATAACTGACCTGATTTAAATTGTAAATTTATGATATATCTACGTTTATATACTTTCCGTTTCTGTTTGTTGCCGGTTACATTGCTGCGGTTACATGAGTACTTTTTAAAGTTTCTATTTTTATATATCTATAGCAGATTCTCAAAATAATTTCCAGACCAGATCTGGAAATTTCCAAACGTCTGTGCTGTGCGAAGCTGGTACATGCATGAAAAATTATAATTGGTTGGAAACGGGGGGCAGGGACACAAAGATTGAGTCATTTGCAGGGAAATTATGTGAAAAAATCTGCTTACAAAAGTGACCTTTGTCAGACACATTTGTCAGGCAGAATATGTTGTTTGGGAACATTGTTGATAATATGTACCAGTATATCATTTCATACATATAATTTATAAATTATTAGTAATGAAAACCACTATGAAGTGAAACACGGTAACTGACACTGTTGAGAAGCTGGTTAGTTGGAAACTTAATGCTAATTTCAGTCCATTTGATTTCCGATTAATATTTCTTTTAAAGAAAGTCTTTGTGGTATGAGCGCATTGACAGATTGACAATGAATGGTAAATGCTGTCCCCCTTAGCCAAGCCCTCAAACCCCTCGAATGTGTATGTGTGACTAAATATGGCGTGCTTATCAGAATTAGAAGAAGGCGGGTGCAACTTCAGAGGATACAAGCAAGAGGAGGATATAAAAGTCATTTTGCAATCATGGGATTTTCTCAGAACATTGAATTAAGCAGCGTGAACGGCAGGGGCCTTGAGGGTCTGGGGGTGGCCGGCCGCAGAAATGCCAGAATGAAAGAGCTTGTTGTTTGGTTGTGGGAGAGCGAGATGAAAGCAGAGGGGGAGACGGCTGCAGAGCCCTCTCTCAGTGCCTTCACACCCTGCGGCCTCTCTCGCTCTACCCATGTGAGCTGGGTTCAAACGGCGGGCCCATCGCTGGACACGCACGCTCTCTATGGGCCTGAACATTTCCACTGTCCTCCATTGATATTGGCACCCCTGATAGAATTAGATGTTTAACTGTACTTCAGGACCTCTTCATGAGCGATAATAACAGTGCATCGGTTTTATATAGCGCTTATCAGGACGCTTCACATGTCATTATTCTTTCACTACATACATGGTGGTGATAAATTACTACAGTAGCCACAGTTGCCCTGGGGCACACTAACAGAAGAGAGGCAACCAATATGTGCTGCTCTGACCATCACCAACCATTCACACACACACTGACTTCTTCTTCTTCTCTATGTGGGTGAAGTCTCTTGCACAAGGACAGTTTGGCAATTTGCACTTGCAACCACCCAACTGTGGCCCCTGGTGTTCCCAGAGGTCTCCCATCACAGTTCTAACTAGGCCTTGCCCTGCACGGTTTTTAGAGATTTGACGGGATCTGGCTTTCGCATGCTAGTATGGCCACAACGATGCAATAAAAGGAATCACAAGTGCACTTCATCAGAACAATTATACTTTTTGTCTGCCCTAAATGGACAGTCAACATCTTAAAATCTTGGCAAGTGCATGTGTTGTCCCCAAGGGCTCCTCTTTTGGGGATCATAATACCATCATGGGTGTAAAGTAAAGTGCTTATGTGATTGTTTTTTTGTGTGTGCGAAATATTCAATCATCTTTAAGTGTCAAAAGGTGCTATAAATATGATGTGTTCATTATTATTTATGAATAAATGGTGAATATTAAACCTTTCGTAAACGCTGTCCCTGTGAGCAAACCCCAGCCCCATGTGACAAATTTGAGAGGGAGAAACATTTGAATAACTTTATGTGGAATCATGGCTCATAGAAGAGGTTTGGAGCCAGAGGTTAAAAGGATGTTAGACCCTGGAGTCTGATGGAAGGAATGAAGGGCTGACTCGTACATACGTCCCATAATTAGTTTGCTAAGTGCTGCTCTAAATGCTCCACAAAAGGCCAACTGTGGAGCCTTGGTTGTTAACTTGACAATAGACAATAGGGGAGAGTAGGAGCCCCCATATCGTCTTAAGCAGAGCTTCTCCAGTTCCATTCCACCCATTGCACTAATTCACTCATTCACTGACTTGCTAATGAAAAGCTGATACCCTCCAGGCCTAAGGTTATGAGCTGCTTGAATCTCTCCCCCCTCTGACTGCTTGGGAACAGGCTGGGAACAGACAAAAGAGGATATGTAATTATAGGAGTCATGACATGAGAGGGAAGGCTCGCAGCTCACTGGAAGTGTAGAGTGATGGAAATGTGATGAGAATTTCTTGTCATTCACATTGCCATTACCTACACTTAAAATATATATTTGTGTATTTATATAGCATCATGACATGAAGGCTGGACATCTCTGGCCCTGTCTACAGCAGAATATGTGAGGTATTTGTTAGGTATAGCATAGGTAACTATTTAAGTCAAAATCAAAGATCATACTAAACAAAATACACCCCCCACTCACACACACACACACACATACACTCTCTCTCACACACACAAACATGTGTTTTTATCTAAAGTTGTAATGATAGGATTTTCACATACCATTTTTCAGTTGTTTTAATTTCATTGATTAATATTATCTTCTCAAAAAATACTGCAATTTTATTAAAATATTGACAGTGCTTAGGCTTAAATGTTTGGAACAAACTTGTCTAATTGGTTAATTCAGTTTGAGCTAAGAATGTCTTAAAGTAGTATTGAAACGAAAGCGTAAATTCAAAACACAAGCGAAAATAAAGTCTATAGTATTTCTGGTTTCCAGGGGCATCTAGTGGGCTGAACTGAGCACTGCATGAGAAAGGACCAGCAACTCACAAAGTACACACAGTTTACAATTGATTTATTTCTCCTTTGTCGTTTATTTGTGTTGTCTGTTTTGTCCTCAAAGTTGTGCGATTAAGTATTTGAATCTGGAATACAGTAGGTTTATAAATGCACAAAGCAGGAAGAAATAGCAGCAGAGACCATTTGTTTGTTCCACAATTTAACACTGACAGTCTCATCAATCTTCCTCTCTGTAATAACATCTCATCATACTCTAAGTTCATAAGGCCAGCAACAACATCCCAATCTATAATATAATATAATGCAAAACATTTCTACAGAATATGAATTCTGCCAAATAGTTGGGTGTTACAATAAACAGTTAATTACGTCCGTCAAATTCAACCTGTTAGTTTCAGTAATTCATAGAGTAGACTAAATCGGGTAAGGCAACTGTGTAAAATACTATGTGTTAAATGTCTTCGCTTTTGAAGGTGACTGGATCCAGTGGTAAGGCAGGCTTGAGGATGCTCAGCTCCATTTGGTTGTTGTCCATGTCCAGCACACACATGACATTGTTGTTGCCTGATGTAATGGAAGTCCTTCTGTCCGCAGGCCAGTCCCTCCCCTTTGGGGGACATGTGGTCAACTGGTCCTCCTCTTCCTCTGTGCTGTTCAGAGCCTCATTCTCATAGCAGAAGGGGCTCAAAGATTTTGAAATCAAATCTTTACTGGTCTTGCATTCTGATGAGGAGCGGCTACATGTTTCTTCCAACTCTTTGGCGCTAAGATGAGGTGTGGATGGCACCTCATAAGTGTTGTGGAAAAGGGCATAGTCTATCTTATACCGATCCCTGTCTTTATATATGACTGGCTCAAACCTATGGCCCCAAAAGATCTCTTGAGCCAGATAGGAACTACGGAACTGTGTAGTCATGGCTGTGGCCTCCACCATGCCCTCGAGGATCACTACTATTTCAAAGTCATCCATCTGCAGATCATCTTTGCTGAGTGTGTACAGAGGGCTGTCATTGTCGATCGTGTGCACTATCACCAGAGGAGACACCAGGAACAGCCTGTCTGTGCCTTCATCATATCCCACATTCAGGTCCATCTGCTCCAGTGGGATGAATTCCCCTTCAGTAGTGACATAGGAGCGTATGAGCTGGGCTCTCACATGGGCCTCTACTATGTGACTTCTCCGCAGGTTGCCCACCCTCCACATGAGACACAGTTTACCATCCCGCATGGAGATTACAGCATTTTTAGAGAACATGAGCGTCTGGTTCCGTTTCTTGGGACGTGCCATCTTAGCCATGATGGTGCCGATCATGAAGGATTCAATAATACAACCAACAATACACTGGATCACTACAGTTATCACTGCCACAGGACACTCCTCTGTCACGCAACGCCAACCATAGCCAATTGTGGTCTGCGTTTCCATGGAGAAGAGCAGTGCCCCCACAAAGCCCTGAACATGGAGTATACAGGGCATTGTCAGGGGCTGCCCAGTGTGGCCCGTGTTTGGTCCACCCATCATTGCATGTCCTGACACATTACCCTGAAAGTCCCCATGTGCCATTGCCACTCCATAGAATATCAGACCAAAGAACGTCCAAGAGATTAGGAAGGTGGCAGTAAAAAAAAGTAACAGATATCTCCAGCGTATGTCCACACATGTGGTGAAGATGTCTGCCAGGTAGCGTTGGCTTTTTTCCTCCAGGTTTGTGAAGACCACGTTGCATTGTCCATTCTTCTTTACAAAACGGTTTCTTCCCTGAGTAGAGTTTCTCGTCTGGATCCTGCCATTCACACGCTGTCCTCTGGGTCCAGAGGCTCCAGACCTCCTCCTGCTGCTGTCATCTACCTCGATGTTACAGCCCGAAGAACCGTTTCTCAGCCTCAGATTGCAGATCTTCTCACGCTCTTCTGCTGGTAAAGTGTCCGACACAATGCTGTACCTATGATAAGAACAATTTAATATTCTAAATTATGTCATATTCAAAATGTTAATTAAAATCACTCTGGCCAAAGGCTAAAGTCAGTTTGACCTGGCCTGATGACATTATGTTCCTTTCCTTCTGGATTAGTCTGGAAGGTGAGTAGAGTTTATCTCTGTGAGAAGGATTGTTGGCCCACAGATTATAGGATTATATTTGTTTGACTGGAACACGGCATGCCAATGATCCTAACCCTACCAGGTTGTTGACACATTTAGATTTTGTGGCATACAATTTTGACCTAAGAGGCAATAAAACATCTTTAAAAGGTTCTACATCTCACTTGGTCAAACGTGGAAGGAAAGGACATAGATGGAGGTCTTTTTGCTGAATTCAGATGCAGCAAGTGTCACAAAAGGGCCCAAGGTAAATACAGACGTTTGTAAAATGAAAACTAGAAAGTATGCATGGAGAGCGCCTTCCCCCGCCAAGTCATGGATTGTTTCTTGGCCCTCATGACTTCCAAAGTAATTACCCCATGTTAAATGTTTTTTCAAAGTCCTCTTTTATTATAACCTTTAAAATAAACGTTTAGTTTGGGGCGGGAAAACACTGTGATGAAGGTCACTGTGATTTTGCCTCAGATCATAAATGTTACTGTAGTGTGGCTCCCCGCTAAATGATAAGAGACATTTCAACGCCCCCGTGTAATGGAAATAGAAACAGGCTGCATGTTTTCATTAATTAGTCAGTCATACATACATACTTACATACTTATATTCATATGTACATACTTACATACATATATACATACATACATACTATACCAACAGTGTGTAACTCCATTAAGCAATGTCTTACCTGTTGCGGCTTGTTCCCATGGCATTGGGGATCATTGGAAAAGGCCAGACTCACCGTTTACGGTAAACTGATATGAAAAGTGCCCTGAAACAAATTTAAGAAACATTATTAGGATAATAAGATATAGAATAGAGGGTTCTTGGTTTTATTTTTTATTCATGCATTTTGTGTTTTCTACCCAGTCTTTCCTTTGTCAGAAATGATGTTGAAAATAAGCTTAAACGTCCATAATAAAGCAGTATACCAAAAGAAGTTGTGTAAAGGGGATAGAACAATGTATTAACTATAAGCAGTGTCCGTAGTAACACATGCAGTGACAGTGAGACATCAGATTTATGAGAGCTTGCTTTAAAATTATATTTTACGAGAAAATTTGTCAGATTCTTTATTTACTGAGAAACAATCTTTACAAGTATTACTAAGTTTTTGCCTCATGATTTTATTGGAAAAACAAAATAATTCTTACTCAGCGACAAGTGGCTCTTCTGTTGAATTCATAGAATCATGGTGTCAGTAGTTTCTTGTAGTCCCTTATTGTTCCTGTGGGCTTCCTTCTCTTTCCAGACAAGTGTGTAATGTCTAATCTGTGTGTGCGACTCACTCAAACTGCTGCGTCAGTCCTCCTCACGTGATGCAAACCTTTGTCACCTGCTTCATTTCATTTTTTAATAAGCATTTTCACTGTTGACATATTTATGGTTATTGTCTCCATGCTCACCATCTATGCTTTGATAAATGATTAGTTTGTTGTGACTGTGTATTTGGTATTTATCAGTTACATCATTTGCCATTTGTTCCAGTAAATTGTAAAGTGTGTTGTCTAAAAGCCCAAGGACAGGCGTTGAACTGTGAATGTGAGACTGGCTTATACAAAGTCATTTCAATATCCACATCAAATTAAAAACAGAAGACGAGTGTATAGTGTAAAAACAACACATTTATTTCTTAAAATAGGGCCACAATCTGAACAATTCTGCAGATAGATCCACTACAACGTATCATGAAACCCATATCCTCTTGAATGTTCTTCTTAAGTTGCCAATAGCTTTGATAAAACTGTTATTTGAAAATGTAATGATTTTTTGACTTTTATCTTATTTTGCAAAAATATGAAACATTTAATGAATTTTAAGGTTCAAGAAAACTATGAGGACTAGGTCTGTGCTTGACTGCTGGCCACTGAAGAAAAGGTTATGGGAACTAATCTAATGCTACGTCTGATTAGCAGCTATTTATAAACGCATGCAGGTCGGCCTCTCTCTGATCGCCTCTGCTCAGGTGCTGTTCTTAGTCACTAGTCTGCTTTGTCTCTTCTGTTGGACCATCCCTCCATCATAGCCACGGGCCTTTCCCTGGTTTGTTACATTATGCATGAGAGGCTGCATACAGACCTCCTTATTAACCATTTGTGCAATATGACCTGCATATGTTAGTGTGGACCCCTGTTGTATCTGTATTACTGCTAAACATTATTATCAGAAGCATTGCACGTTTTTGTTTTGCCCACATTGTTACGACAGTATCTATATCTTGAGCATGAGTCATTTATATCTCAAGTGACGACATCTTCTGTTCGTATGCACATTGTTACAAATCCTCTTGTTCGATCTGGAGGGACTCGAAAATAAACTGTGGTACAGGTGCAATCCCCACTGCCCTGTCTTCATTTCTCAACACATTGATGAAGGTTTTACTGCCCCGAATCAGGATCGGCCTCGTCCAGCCTCTTTTTCAAACGGCGCAATTCTGATTATTTTGTGTCTGTTTTTTTTTTGTATCATGTTTAATTTTGCATAAAAAACATACTAAATCTTTATTATTTATTCACTGACTATAACGTAATTGCTTTATTGATTTATTTATTTCATAGGGACAAGTGTACACAATTATTTTGCGTGACGGGAAACACTTAGCAGAATGATAAAAAAGAACACTTTTTTTTTTAAACATTGCAATTTTGCGCCTGTCCTGGGCCTTTACCGAGCCTTGTACATAGTCAGGATGTAGAGCAGTGTGGGCGGGTCCTGGCTCAAAAGTGGCCAAAATGACGTGCGCTGACATGCTTGCAATAACACCCCGGGCCAGTGGGGGTGGACCCAGAAAAAGAATTAGCCAATGCTAACATATAGCATTGGCAGACCTCTCAAAAACGTCTTTACAGGATGGTCCAAAAGTTGGCTCTTGGCCCAACGCTCCGTTCCACATGTGTGTCAATGCTGTGGGGGGGTGAATTTTTTTGGAGCACTCTAGTTTACTTGCAGTGAATTTTTGAAGTCTCTCGTTCAAATGAATGGAGCTCTCGCCGGCTGACGCATGCGCAGATGCGTTTTTTCGCAATTTTCTTGTGGGCGGGACCACTCGCGGCCATTTTGGATAGCTCCAGTAGAGCACATTTTTTGGCCCATTTGTTTGAACGGCGGAGATAGGCGTGACTCTGTCCGTTAATATATACAGTCTATGATGTAGAGGCACTTCGTGGAAAGCTCCTTTAATCAGATCGTTGTGGTGTCCGGCGTCGTGCAGACTATATTCTACTGCGTTTTCTTCTACCTTTACATCATGAGGGGTACGTAACTGCTACACTACCATATTACACTGATACATTGTACCTACATAAATGCTGTTTTACACAATTGACACATTTAAGTTCTTGTCTTTAAAGAAGAGCTTTAGGTACTAACTGCTCTATCTAACAAGAGGAAAAATGTCGCTTCCAATACCTGTGAAAGAGTGAGGCTCCCAAATCACGGACCACCATGTGCCTGCCATATCTACGCATCCAAAATAATCAACAGAAATTGTAAATATATTATTAAGAGTCAACAAGGGATACAACTGGTTAGACCAGACCTGGGCAAGATAAGGCCGGGGGCCAGGTCCCGTCCACCAAGCAATTTAATCCGGCCTGTGGCTCATTTTCCATAAAAAGTATACTTTATCCGGGATTTTCTGCACTGCTTGGACGCATCCGCTACGCATTCACGCTGCGTTAGCATTGTATTAAATAACATGTGCCATTTTTTAGAATTAGTAGTGTTTTAGGTGTTGGGTGCATGTGGTGAATGGTTAGTGTCTGAGTGTGTGAATGTGTGTGTGCGCAAGTGCTTTTTTAAGCGTGTGTTGGTGCCGTATGTGGTGACATTCGCTCACGTCATTTGATGGTTTACTGAGGCTTCAGAGACATGGATGCATGTTATAATCATAGATCCATAATGTGGTTCAGAGAGTGCGTCGCTTTGACAGGTTGCTTTGTGATCCGTGTGAGACGCTGTACCCGTCTGTCTGTGTGCATATGTGTGTGTGCGAGTCGACTTTTGGACCATCCTGTAAAGCCGTTTTCAAGAAGAAGGAAGATGCCATACAACAGCATTGTATATAATTCTTTTTCTGGGTCCCCCCAAAAGCAAGATCCATCTCTGAAATCTTGGTATGAAAATGTGACCAATCAGAGGGAGGCAAAAAAAATTGATACATTATCAAAAATGATTTAATATTTTTTTAATCTAGTTAGTGAGAAAACTGAAGCCCTTGTGTTATCACTCAGACGACCTGTTTTGGAACTCGGCCACTCCATTCCCTGGGCCGGCCACATGGCTTTTCAAAAAACTCGAGTTGGCGGTCATTTTGCATGTCTGAGTATGTATACGGAAATTATGAAGTTCTAATTCAAATGTTGCTTCAGCCCTTTAGGCTTCGCTATTGCATATCTTTTGGAAGCATCGCTTCCCGCCCTGAGAAGATCAAACGATCAACCGCTACAATTACCTTGACGTTCTGGCGTAGGCCAGTCCCCTATATAAGGGCCCTGCACCATAGCTCTTCTCCATTCTCTCTCAGCTTGCCTAAAGAGAAGCTTCAATCTACTGTTGGGATGTTGTGAGATTTCATAACACTTTGAAGCAACTTTTGTTATAGTTAAACTCATCATTCTATCAATGTGCAGAAGCCAGTACTTTTCCCTTGTTTTGTCTATCTGAAGGCCAAGCTACATGGCACCGTGGCAGCTGCTGATTGGAGGTCTCCATGCCTCCGCTCTGAATAATACACTTGCATTCTATTGTATCTGTGTTCGTGTTTGTGCTGTCTCTACCATTGACAATAAAACATGTCTTCTGTCTGAATTAAAGACGCGATCCCAGACTTGGCTCATCCTCTTCAGGTGGTGGAAGGATGCGGGCCTTGTCTGTAACATCTAGAGAACAGAAGACTACTTTTTTTTTTTACACATAAAGTGTTTTTTTTTTTCAAGCCAAAACTGAGAAACCTCAAGAGAATTGTCATGGAATTATCTACTCCAATAAAGGAAAAGGCTCAAAAGGTATTTGTCTTAATCAGGAGCGTAAGTTTATTGTAACACACGTGCGGAGAGCTCACATACACAAAGCAGCGTACATCAGCTCTGGCGCGGCCAGAGCAGGTTCCTGTTTACATAGACAACACATGAAAGACAGTCACGCCCACAAAAGATGGGAGGGGGTCACAGTTTGAGACGGGCATCCGGAGGCGAGGCGCCATCTCTGGGGAGAGACAATCAGACTGTCCCATGGAGATGCAAACAGAGAGACAATAGACATGCAGGATGTAGAGATGCAGACATACGGACCGATACAGATGCAAGATGCAAAAGGGACAAGGGTGAGACACAGGGCTGGACTGGCCATCGGGCATACCGGGCAATGCCCGAAGGGCCGATGCCCATATTTGGGCCGGTCTGTCTGCTTCATACAAAAAACATGTTTGTGAAAAATGTTTGAGGGGGGGCGCGCATGTCCGCGGCCAACTGCTGTATATACTAAAACGGGATTCCGCCACCTCAGCGGCCGCAGTGTTCCGAGACAGCTGCGGCCGCTTTGTAATGAGCGGTTCAAGCATCCAGCGGCTCTGAGCTGGACGCGGGAACCACAAGATCCGCTCACAACACAACACGGTGAGCGCGCAGCCTCAACGTGACCCTATACCCAAGACCATAAACGCGCACAGGACCATGCATTTCTTTGTGTAATCTGTGCACCCAATAAATACACCGCTGCAGGAA